ATATGAGAGAAAGCATGTGATCCTGACCTTCTTCTGAGTTTGACTTATTTCACTTAACATAATGTTCTTGAGTTCCATCCATTTTCCTGCAAATGATATAATTTAATTCTTATCTATGGCTGAATGAAACTATTGTGTGTGTGTGTGTGTGTGCATGCATACATACCATATTTTCTTTATCCATTCACCTGTTGATGGACATCTAGGCTGGTTCCATTGTTTGACTGTTGTGAATTGTGTGCTATAAACATGAATATGTATATATTGCTATAGTATCTGGAACATGAGCTTTTGAATAACACTTCAAATCATAGCAACTTTCCTGACTGTATCTTTATAGAATGATTAGCCCTATGGGGAACAAGGGTTACTTAATGGGAGTTCCCATTCATTTCCTACCTATCATAGCTATTCTAGTCCCTCTTTCCTCTACCAACTCAGAGGTGAAACTCAACTTCTTTTCTTTGATTTCCCCAGAACCACTCACACAGAGCACTTGTGTTTGTGGTGGGCTTTACAGAATCAGTTTGATGATTTTGGAGAGGTACTATTTACAACTTGGAGTATTTGTTATTTTTAAAGCTATTTGGTTATCTTTCTTTTTCCTTTCTCTTTTTGGTATTGGGGATTGAATCCAGCAGTGCTCAACCACTGAGTTTCATTCCCAGAAACTTTTATCTTTCATTTTGACATAGGATGCTTGCTAAGTTGCTTAGGGCCTCACTAAGTTGCTGAGGCTGGCTTTGAACTCACAATCCTCCTGTCTCAGCCTCCCAAATTACTGGGATTACAGGTGTGCACCTCTGTGCCCAGCTGGTTATCTTGCTGATGGAAGTTTTCCCTGGTGATTTTTCTCTTTTGTTGCCCAGTTTCCTTTCTTTTAGTTTTCCTTTCTGTTCTAACTGCTAAGCATACCTGCACCCCCAAATTCCCATTGGCTTCTTTGGCAAAACTGTTTCACAGTGTCTTTGATTAATTGTTTCTTCATTCTACCATTTTCAAGCCCTATCCAAGAGAGAGGGGAAATGTGCTGTCAGGAGCTGCCACATTGGGACCGAACACCCCTTAGCTTTGAGCGATCAGAGTGTGGAGATGTGGCAAGCCAGACATGGGCTCTGTGTGTGTGAACTATGAGCATTGAGCACACAGGGTGGACTGAACCAATGTTGCCCCTGTGTTTGGGCGGGTGACATATGAGTCTTTTCGATTGCTCTGCCTATGATCAGCATATGAGATGGATGTGGCCTTCCTAGATGTCACTCAACCTGTTGAGTCTAGGAAGCTAGACTCAACCCCCTGAAACTTGACCCCTTTCCTTATTAGAATGGCTTCTCCCCAATAAAAGGGTTCAGCACATGCTCTCCACTCTCTTTCTTGCCTGCCTTGCCCACCTTGTGGGAGCTGTGGCTGAGGAGCTATCAGGGAATCCAAAGAAAAGGTACTTTTTGTGTCTGTGTCTTTATTTTTTCCCCAAATTCACTTGGAGTGACCCTGACCAGTTTAGTCATGTGACACAAAAATGAGCTACCTGAATTTGAGCATTCTGGTCTCTTTTATAAGCATGCTAATTATCAAGTATAATATAAGAACCATATGGTCATCTCAATAGATTCAGAAAAAGCATTCAACAAAATACAGCACCCCTTCATGATCAAGTATATGGATCCCTCCCTTCCTCCATGCTTTAACTTCCTCACAGATTCTTTAATTCCTAGTGAGTGCCTGCTGTGTGACAGCTATGGTTCTAGACCGGGGAATGCAAGACTGACAAGTCCTGCCCTATTGAGATTGTATTCTAGTGAGAAAGATGGTAGTAAAACTAATAAATAAGCCTACAGTATAATGTAAGGTAATAAGTATTATAAAGAAAAATAAAGCAGGAATAGAGATTCATAGGGGTTCTGTTTTAGGTAGAATGATCTGGCAAGGTCTCTCAGTGTGATATTCAGGCAGAAATTTAAATGAAGTGAGAAGAATGCAAATATATAACGGAAGAGAGTGCCAGTCCTAGGGAATAGTAAGTGCAAAGGCCCTGTCACATCTTGTGTTTTCTGTAAAGCAGTTATTGAGACCATTAGAAAGGCAAATTTGGGGGGGCAGTAAACTCAGTTAGAAGAAAAGGAAGAAAATCCAATTGGAGGGAGGAGCTGCCAGACTGCATGTCGACCTGTCAAAGTCTGTGCCAGCCTTGTGCGGGGTTCCATAGCTGACAGCCTGAGGCCCACTACAGCACCTCTGCAGTGAGTGGAGGAAATGACTAGGCCTTATTTTCCACTCTGCTCAGTCATTTGACCATGGACTTCTCTGGTCAAATGGCATATGCTTTCAGCTGAAGTAGGCTGAAGTGAACTGTGACTGAGCTGATACTGGAAGTTGTAAGTTAAACATGCTTTCTGTATGTGGACAGTAAATCCTTTCTTGAAGAGCAATCTGCCCAAGGCTCTAAAACATGATTAAACGACTGCAAGAAGGCTGGGGAAGAGTGAGAAGGAGAGTGATAGGGAAGGAGATTGGAGAGGCAACCAGGGGCCAGAATAAGCAGGATCTTGTAGGCTGTGGAAAGATGTTGGATTTTTTTTTTTTTTTTATTCTGGGGACCGAACCTGGGGAACTCTACCACTGAGCTACATCCTTAGTCATTTTTTTTCTGAGATAATATCTCACTAAGATGCCTAGGATGACCTTGAACTTGTGATCTTTTTGCTTCAGCCTCCTTTGTTGGGATGACAGGTGTGTACCACTGTGCCTGGCTATGTCTTGCATTTTAAAAGGATAACTGGCTGCTACAACAGGCTGTTTCTGCCATAAGCCATGATTTCATTTTATTTATTGCTGTCTCACAAATCATCCCAAGACAGTACTTAAAACAATACTGATTTATTTTTTCTCAAAGTTCTGTGGGTTGACTGGACAGTCTTCAGCAGGATTTACCTGAGCTCATTGATGTGGCTGCAGATAGGTGGTGTTTGAGGTGGGCCTGGGTGTTTTACATGGCTTTACATATATGTCTGGGGCCTCAGCTGGGACTGTTGCAATGACTGAGATGGCCAGGTCACTTTCCATGGGCTCTGTCATCTTGTGCTTTTTCACATGAAGCCAGAAACATTCTGAAACATCAAGCCTTAGGAAGCAAGCACTTATCCAAGCCTCGGCCAGTGTCAAGTCTCTTGATGTCCCATTGGTGAAAACAAGGCAAATGTCCAAGCCCAGAGTCAACATGGGAGAATATGCAAGGTTATGCATATCTAGAATTGTGATTCGTGGGTGCTGTACCTGTAGTAATCTAGTATGCTAAACATTCTTTTGGCTCTTTTTCATTTTCTGATCCTCTGTTCATCAATTTACCATCTAATTATAATTTGGTTTTCCACATAAGAGTGCTTACAAGAAAATAATGCATCAATCACATGGACTTAAAATATTTTCTATTGCTTTGACAGTAATTTCTTATTGTATTTGCTTATTTCAAGGAGTAAACATTCAGTGTATGGAGTTCTAGTGTTCATTACTGTAGTAATGTGGTCTTTTGACCCCTAGCTAAGAATCATTGTACTCCTTGTGGTTCATCTCAAGCCTATGAGAAAATGTATGAATTCTAACCTTCATTCTTAATCTGCTTGTGATAGAGTTACTTTGAGAATTTAAAAAAAAAATATGTTGAATCGAGTAACTCTCAATCATTGCTGATGGGAATGAAAAATAGTACAGCCACTTTGGAAGACAGTTTGGCAGTTTCTTACAAACTAAACATACTCTTACCATACGGTCCAGCAATCACGCTCCTTGGTATTTACCCAAATGGATTGGAAACTTATGTCCACACAAAAACATGCACACAATGTTTATAGCAGCTTTATTCATAATTGCCCAAACTTGGAAGCAACCAAGATGTTCTTTAGTAGGTGAATGAAGAAGCTGTGGTACATACAAACAATGGAATATTATTTAATACTTAAAGGAAATGAGCTATGGAGACTTGAAAAGATGTAAGGAAACTTAAGTGCATGTTACTAAGAGAAAGAAGCCAGAAAGGCTATATTTATACTACATTTTGATAAAGGCAAAGAAGTTAGTGAAGTAGGAGATGAATAAGTGGAGTGGAGCACAAGGATTTTTTAGGGCAGTGGAACTATTCTCTATGATAATATAATAGTGAATACATATCATTATGCTTTTGTTAAAACTCATAAAATGGGCAATATCAAGAATGAGCCCAAATGTAAACTATGGATTTCAGGTGAAAATGATGTGTCAATGCAGATTTATTGATTATAATAAATATACTACTCTAGTGTAGGATTTTGAAAGTGGAATGTTATGCATATGTGGGAACAGAGTTCCTCTGGAACATTTTTGTACCTTTCACTCAAGTTTGCTGTTTGCCAAAACAGTTCTAAAAAATAAAGTCAATTAAAAATAACTGAAGTGATAGTTCCCAATTTTTCCCCAGAAGGGCTTGACCTCAGTCATTATGAGGTCATAATGACTAAACTATGTAAGTCATTTGACTAAAATTTGATTTTGTGATTTAATGTTGATTTTGAACATGTTTGTTTGATGTGTTATTAATGTACATATCAATTTAGCTGATGGGTGAAGAGAAAAAGGGAAGTATGCATATGATTGTAAACTGTTTAATATACTTTTAAGATTCATTATTTCCTCCCTGTCTTGAGAGAACAAATATTTGGAGATCTTTGTTGTTGCTTTTACTATCCTATATATTACATGTCACTATTTTAGTTTTTATTTTTCATTAGAAAAAAATATTTCAGTGTGGCTGTGGATGCTATTAATTGGGAATATTTTATTATTAGAGGCTTTAGTGGACATTCACTGGGATCAGGGTGAGGTTTTTGTGTTAAGCAGAATCATTGTGAAGAAAAATTATTGTTTTTGATAACAATAGAGACTACATAAAACTAAATGTGGAGAAATCTGCTTTGTTCTTTCTGAAAAGTATTAATTAATATTCTTAGAATGTTTTTGTTTTGTTCCAGATATTGACAACGTGAAGCCATTGGAGGGTGTAAAAATTCTAGATCTAACAAGGTTTGTATTGTTTATTTACATTTTAGTGATTAGTTTTTCCCTTCTCTCAACAATTTTTAATTACTTTTTTCGATCATAGGGGGATACTTATTTCTTATGTTCAAATTTTGGAGAAGGAGAAAAGAAAAGAAAAATTCCTGGAGTTGCACTATTCTAAGAGACAATTTGTGTAATATTTGTGCATTTTTGTCAATCTACACATTTATATATAATTTTAAAAATAATTGGAACTACATTGGAATTATAGTTTTATTGGCATTTAAAGCATACAACAGCATGTTTTTTTAGTTTTATTTGAATTTTTGGAAATGCTTTTTTAACTTTTTTGTTCCCTAAACAAACAAACAAAAAAGCATAATTATTCTTAGTCTTATACATCTACCAGTTGAAACACGAGATATTTAAGTGCTTATGAAATACATTAAGAAAACATCTGACTTGGGCCTGAAGGACTTCATGAGATTACTGTATGGGAATAGCTAAATATACAGTTTCCTTTTGAATATTTTTCTGTTATTAAAAATTAAACAGGGCTAGGATTGTGGCTCAGTGGTAGAGTGCTCGCCTAGCACATGTGAGGCCTTGGGTTCGATCCTCAGCACCACATAAAAATAAATAAAATAAAGATATTGTGTCCAACTACAAGTAAAAAATAAATATTAAAAAAATTAAACAAAAAATGTAAGATGATATTGTATTATATAGATTTTAGTTTTAGTTTTTAATTACTTAATAATCCCCCAGTATTTCACATTTATAAATTAGTCTTCCTTGGATACAAATATTGCCTCAGTTTCAATTTCTTCTTCAGGATAGAATTTTAGAAATAGAATTACCAGATCAAAGGGGATATACTTTTTTAAAGCTCTTGATACATATGGCCAAATAACAGTTTCTACAATTTTGATTCTTGCTAGTATTATATAAGCTTATCTGTATTGATGGAATATTAAGAAAATAATTAATAAAAAATTTCAAGTTGGTCTTTTTTTTATTGTTGTTAACATTGTAGAGTGCTGGCAGGACCTTTTGCTACTATGAATTTAGGAGATCTTGGAGCAGAAGTTATAAAAGTGGAAAGACCAGGTAAAGCTATTGCTTGTTTAAAAAAATAGAATCAGGCTAATAAATATTTTGAGTAATTCCTTAAGTTTTCATGTTTGGATATCCTATAAATGGGATGAGGAGATAAGTTAAATGATTATTTTCTTTTTTCCATTTCTTGTGTTCCTCTGAACCTGTGCTTGTGATCCCTTTTTTACTCTATAAAGGTGCCAAGGACTAAGACTGAAGTTATTTCCTTCTCACATACCTGAAACATTCTGTTAAAACATATAATAACAATGATGATAAAAACAATTATAGAGCCAGGCTAAGTTCTAAACCCATTGCTGGGCTGGGGTTATAGCTCAGTGGTAGAGTGCTTGTGTAGCACTTGTAAGGTACCAGGTTTGATCCTCGGCACCACATTAAAATAAAGATATTATGTCTATCTATTAAAAAAAGAATAAACCCTGTTGACTTGAATTTAATCTTTACAATAACCATATAGGCTGATATAATTCCTTGTTTATAAATGAGAAAATAGAAGCATAAGACACAGAGGTAAAGCAATATGTTCAAGCTTACATAGTTAGTAAAGAGTATCTAGGTTCTCAGCTCAGATTCTGGTTTTTCTAGGCTCTATACAAGCTGCACCATTGAGACTGAGATTAGAGTGAGTGTGACCACATTCCCTGAGCATGGGATGAAGGGATGGCAAAGACAAGGGCATGATAAAAGGGAAGAAATAAGATACAGAAGGAGGAGAGAAGGAAAAGGAATCAAAGCCCATCAAAAGCAACCCAAATACCTTAACCTGTCATTCTATTCTATTTAAAAAAAAATTAAAAAACTTTACCACTTTAGAGTTTAGAGGTTTTGAGGCGGGGCTGGGGCTGTAGTTCAGTGGTAGAATACTTGCCTAGCATGTTTGCAGTACTGGGTTCAACCCTCAGCACCACATAAAAATAAACAAATAAATAAAGGCATTCTGTCCATCTACAACTACAGAAAAATAAAAAAATAAATAAATCAAGGGCTTGAAAGGACAACATATCAGCTTATATTATTTTTTTATCTCACATCTGTCTAATTTTTTTTCCTTCTTTTCCCATCAAATACATGTCTTCTGTATATGCAATTTTCACTTTTATTTGGTGCTTTAAACATTATGGTGATTAGTTCATGCAATTATTGATAAAGTTGCTTTGAAAAGTATCTTTGTTGTGTGCCACTTCTTTCCACAAGCACTTAAGAGGCACAGATACTTTCTTCATGCCATTATTCTATAGACAGCTTATCTTGAAGTTATCAAAAATTAGTATTACTATTTATGTTCTAATATTTAGTCCTTATGGATTTGGAACAGAATTCTCAAATTAATGAGAATGGTCTAGTGCTGATTAGTGTGCATTTATCCATAAGGCTCATAGAGATGAATTTATAATTATATCAACATTAATTTACCATAAGTGATAAACCATATTTTAAAGTAGAATATTTGACCTGGAAGATTCTATTTCCTGCTAATCAGATCTTCCTATGAGGCCAAAGCAGTTAGCAGAAGATTCTCTGATCAGCATAGGAGTATTATATATTATTGTATTTTATCTTGTTATATTCATCTGAGCCCATGTTTATCAGTCTCAGATAATAGAAGTGCCTGGAGAGTCCTGCTTTCCTGAGACATTTGCTTCATATATCCAGTCAACAAAGTTTATCACTTTCTGTCATTACTGGATACATACTGAAGAATATTTATTTTTTTAGCTGAACACTCCCCACTCCAGTTGTTTAAAGCTTCTAATTTATACATTTTGATTTGATTTCAACATCAGCACCTCCTGATTTCAACCATTGGTTTTCTTGTGTCTTCCTTTCTTGTATGGAGCATCCCATCTAATTTTTCTTTCTATTTCAGTTGGTCAACAGTTTAGTAATTGTACTTATATTACTTTCATAAATTATTATTCCTTATTTACTTATCCCTGTTTCTCCTTTGTACTTTAGGTTCCACTATGAGGAGAACTTTCTTTGTCAAGGCCTTTATTACCTCTCAAACACCTAGCAGGTGTTTACTGCTCCTTTTTTGGCTGATAAACCCTCTTGCCCAATACATTTTAATGTTCATAATATATATTCAATTGTTCTGGGTCTTTGAGATACTTACTCAACGTGGATATGAGGAAAAATGACTAGTAGCAGTTTCATTGAATGCAACTTGATAGTATTTCTAAATTCTAGTAGACTCTCTTTTTATGTCTACTTTTCCATTTCTTCAATTAAATAAAATTTGATTGCAGTTTCTGACTTAGGACTTATTCTTACTTATGTAATCATAAGAGCATATCAAACTTAAGTATAGTTTTTATCTTTTCTTTTAGAGTTAGCAAATCCATATGTGTAATCTATAATGCCTGCAGGACCTGGCAGGGAATGTAAATGAGTGAAACGGGCTGGAAGGGCAGCAAATGAGGCCACTAAAACTCCAGATTGTACCTATAAGCAGGCATATGAGATCAGGAATTTTGGTCTTTTGTTCACTGCCATTTTTGCCCCGGATAGAGCAGTATCTTCACTTAGCTGGTGCTCAATAAGTGTTGAATCAATGAATGGATTGAAAAACCATTTAAGAAAGGCTAAGTTTTTACATGAGATTTCCAGATTTTGAAATCTTAGCAGATTGTTAAAAAACTTAGAAACTCTGTGGGTCGAATAAAACATGTTTTCAAGCTTTCTGGTTTAATAGTTTGTGATCTTTTATCTTATGTTTTGGGTCAAATGACACTGATCTTTCTGCCTTTCTAAAATCATGGCTATATTCTAAGGACAAGAGAAGAGGAAAGCTTTCTTAGGCCTCCAGTGTAACTTCTGACCTATTTCCACCTGATAGATGCATACAAATATTTAAACCAAATGAATCTCAACTTTATCTTGGCATTGTTGCTTCTCTTCTTCCTTCTATTTTAAAATATTGTGAGTTAAAAAAAAAGGAAGTGGCTGGTGATTCTGAGAGGTCCTATCATATACCAAATATCTGGGCCTTACATACATTTCTCACAAAGTCACTGATGGGCTTAGTATTGGGTAGTTCTCTTTGTGGACCCTTGTAGTTCATTCTCCCCAACTCCCTCCTCCCTGTCAATGTTTTGAGTATGTCCTTCCATTGGTATTTAGTATTTATTGCTTTGTGTAATTATTGGTTTATGTCCTGTTAGAACTAATACTTCTTTTCTATTCTTACTTGTGCACTCTATTTCTCTTGTGGGTTTTTAAAAAATAAATAGATTTATTTTTTATTCTCTTTTTCCCTTCAAAAAGATTATGCCTTGATCCATCTCAAGAGAGTAAATAAAGTTTAATGGTTAATAGATTATACCATTTAAATGACTAGAATTTAAAACTTTATCCAAGTTCATAAATTCTTTACTTTTTAGAGGGCTAGTGATAAAAGTTAATTGTTATTGCCTATACAGGTAATTATAATGGTTAATATCTCACACTAATACTTATTCAGAAGTTATAAAAATCTCTCATGGTGTTTTGGAGCTAAGAATTAATAGCTCATATTGTTATTTTTTAGGAGCCGGTGATGATACACGAACTTGGGGGCCACCTTTTGTGGGTACAGAAAGTACATATTTTCTCAGTGTTAACCGAAATAAAAAAGTAAGGATATCATAATTTCTTTTTTTTTTGCATTATTTGTATAGTTTTTTTATTATCACAAAGCTTTGGATAGCATCATGGCTTTTTTTGTAGATATAACTAATATTTCAAACAATATGAAGTTTTCTTTATTCATCAGTTATCAAATAGAAGCAGGGATTTTAAAATTAATCTTCTTTCTCTATTAACTTAAAACATTTCATGAGAATTTATAGTGGAAATCATTTTATGAAAGAGAAATCATTTGATTCTTTACATTGTTTTAGAGAATGCTAACTCTAATACTCATATTACTATTGAAAACCATTTATTATAATCCTTGATATCATTCTGATAGCGAATATAATCAGTAAAAATGATTTAATAATTCTTCATGAGGGATACAATTTTGCTTTAAGAGGAGAATCTATGATGTGAATGACTCTCTTGTTGGACTGTCAATAATAAAAAAAGCCTTTATGATAATATTATATATATATATATTTTGATTTTTAGAGCATAGCTGTTAATATCAAGGATCCAAAAGGGGTGAAAATCATCAAAGAGGTACAGTATACTCTATGGAAGGCATTTTGCCTACCACTTGTTGTAATTTGTGATTTAAATATCAGAGCAAAAGTGTTTTAAAACTATCTTGTATGACAATCTGTTATTTTCCTATAAACTACATCTAAGAAGTTAAGTTGGCTTTTTTAGTAAATATAATGTGCTTTATATTTCCTTGTATATTGTGTATAATTACAGTCCTAGCTACTATCTACCGAGTGTTTTTTGCATCAGATTCTGAACTTGGGCACTTATATTATCTCCACTAAACCTCAGTTTGCTTTGTAAATGAAGCATTAGATCCCCATTTTCATAGAATGGTATTGAGTCTCATAAGGTCTAAGTGGTGCTCCAAAGATTACATAGCTAATGCTAAATTAAATTATATTTGGCTTAAAGTTGCCTCAGTATATAGAAAACTTAAAATCTAATTTAGTATGTAAACCAACTAAAAACTAATTAAAGAGTATGTTCTTATAACAAATAATGAAATCTCAGACAATTTCAGTTCAAACTTCAGCAAATCACAAGCTGCCAATTGATCAGACCATGTCCATATGAAGCAAATGTCGGACTATAACCAATCACGTTGTTTTGGAATGTCAGTTCATTTTTTTGTTTCTAAATACTGCCTGCCCACTTGCTGGGCAGTGGGTGGAGCACTCTGAATCTCTCCTGATTTTGAGAGCTGCTTAAATAATAAATCATATTATTCTCAAATAAATTTTTCTAAATTTAATTTATTTAACAATTTTTCTTTTAACATTAGTAAGGGGAAAAACTGACATTTGAACTCAAGTAATATCATTGGAAAGCCTAAGCTTTTTATAGAATTTATTCAGATAGCCATTATGTCCAGACCTGACTCATCATCTTTCATAGAGGGGAAGGATGAAATAACAGTTAAAAGTACTATCTTTAAGTGAGTTTCTAATGCTGTCTTGCTAGCTATATGAGTTCAGGAAAGTTATTTAACCTCTTTGTGCCTCAATTTCCTCATCAATTAACTGGGAATAATATTTTTTAATGTATGCTTTTTTTTAAAGAGAGAGAGAGAATTTTTAATATTTATTTTTTAGTTCTTGGTGGACACAACATCTTTGTTTGTATGTGGTGCTGAGGATGGAACCCGGGCCGCACGCATGCCAGGCGAGCACGCTACCGCTTGAGCCACATCCCTAGTCCCTGGGAATAATATTATTAGCTTTTTTTCTAGAATTGTTGTTAGAATTGAGTTTTTAATGTGCAAAATGTGTAGAAAAGAGTGCCTGCCACATAGTCAACGCTAATTAAGCAATATCTATTATTTCCTTATGCACATGAAGTTGGTTTCATTATGTGAAATTAAACTTGTTTGCTGTCTTTAAGTTTTATAATCTACTCTAATGGATGTACATATTTGGTTAGAAAACCAAGTCTGAAATCTTAAATTTAAAAAATATATTTGTTACCAAACTAACTTTAACCTCATACATCTGCTGCTGCTTTCTTTACTTATCTGAGTGTTTGAAAAATCATTTCTTTTAATTTTTTAAGATTAGAATCAATGATGATCTCTTTTGGTTCTGAAGGCTCAATCCCACAAATTTGGAATATTTTTTTTTGTTTACTAGATATATTTTGAACCCAAAGCTTAAAAATTGTCCTGAGATCATACCACCCTGCTTTCCCATATCTTTTCTATAACATCACTTAGATTTATCTTTCTTTTTCTTTAAGTTTATAACTCAGTTTGATTTTTTAAATTGCTCTCCATCATTGTTGGCCTGCTTTATTTTCTTACTGTAGCTACCATCACCTTGGACCTAGCTCTCATTGTCTGCATTCTCAGTCCTTTCTCTTATAATTCCTCATCCTCCTTGTCCTTGTCTTCATCTTCCTCCTCTTCCTCTTTCTCCTCCTCCTCCTCCCCTTCTTCCCCTTCCTCCCTTTCCTATTTGTTTTCCTCTTCTCTTCTTCTTCTTATATCATCTGGGCCATTGTTCTTTTCTCAATAATACTTCTTCTGGTCTTTTTTTTTTTTTGGTATTTGTAGATGGACAGCATGCCTTTATTTTATTTGTGTATTTTTTTCTGTGTTTCTGAGGATCGAACCCAATGCCTCCCATATGGAAGGTAAGCGCTTTGCCACTGAGCTACAGCCCCAGTCCTTCTTCTGGTCTTTGTTGCTTATTTAGTTTAGTTTCAGTGTTCAAAGTCCTGTTTTTTTGCTTCCACATCAGAACATTCTTTTATCTCATCCTGAGTAGTCAAGGTTTCAGATTTAATTGAACAAATATATTTTCATTAGGGTTTCTCAGTGGGACAGTGTTAGGTAGAATGTATAACTTCGCTACACATTATGTACAGATGAATATTTTAGGCCAACATGTATAATTCTGACTTCCTTCCCATATTATTTGGATCATGCCAGTGTGCTCTATGAGATTGTAATAATTTAAAGTTCAGTTTCATTGTGGGCTTTATTTCTCTTCAAGTCTGATTAATGAAGTAAGTACATTTTAACTCACATTAAATTTAAATAGATCATCTGGGACATTTTATTTTTGGGTGATGGTGCTGGGGATTGAACCCATGGCCTTATGCATCTTAGGCCAGCACTCTACCAGCTGAGCTATATCCCCAGCCTAGGAACATTTTTTATGTTAATTGCTTTTAGCATAAGTTATATTTATATAACTTATATATAATTCAGCCTAAAGGGAGAATTATTTTTGCCTACTCTTTTATATTCTTTCTGGCAAGGATTTCTCTTTTGCCCATAAGAGTAGCAACAACAACCTGTACATTCAGATCTTAGTGGCTACAATTGCTCATATAATGAGTCTAGTTTATAGAAATGGTCCCAAAGCATTATGCAAAACAATTAGCTGGATAACCAAGAGTTTCAAAAGTATAACTCCTTTGTCAATGAGGCCAACCAAAACCAGGCTTTGTTAAAAGCAAAATTCTGCTTAGAAAATCTACATGGGCCTGGTATTTTCATAGCAATATGATTTGATCACTTTCGAACATATGCCATCCTATATTTTAAATAATTCGGTATATTAATTAGTTGACAGACTATCCCTTTTATGGGCATATATTATGGTCAGGAGAGCATATAATGTAAGACCATATAAAAACTGTGAGTTTTGTTTTCCGCCAGTATTTTATTATGAAAATTTAAACCATAAAGTTGAAGGAATAGCAAACCCTTTACTTAGATAAAGCAATGTTAGCATTTTGCTATGTATGCTTACACATGTACAACATGTAGACTGTGTGTGTGTGTGTGTGTTTGAACTATTTGAAAGTAAACAGAAGATGTGAGATTTTGCCTTTAAATTCCTTCAGTATACTTCTGTAATTAAAGATATTCTTTGATATAATATTTTAAACTTACTTTATGATTTCCTCATATGTGTGGTTAAACTTTTATTTTTGCTTACCCTGTTCCTAAATTATATCTATAGACAAAACTCAGATTAGATACTGTATATTTCACATTGATTTCACCTACTCTGTGACTGAAAGGAAGATCATTTTATTCTTTTCTTAAGTAAATAAATAAATATGGTGGTTTTTCTAATTCATACAAAGTTATTCTTGCCTTTTATTCTGGGAAAAATTCTATAATAGATTTTTAGGTGATTTGTGAGCACTCAGATAAGGAAGAGATGATATACAGTAATATTGAAAAACAGTCTTTTTTACTCCTCTTTTTATTTTCTAGTAGATCCTGGTTTATCTCTTCAAAGAACCAACTCTTTGTTGCATTGATACTTTTACTTATTTTTAATTACAAATTTCACTAATTTTGACGCAGATCTTAATTTTTCCTGTCTCTTACTAATTCTGGAATTCATTTATTCTTCCTTTTTAAAAAATTTTTTTTGTAGTTATAGATGGACAGCATGTCTTTATGTTGTTCTATTTTTATGTGGTGCTGAGAATTGAACCCAGTTCCTCACATATGTGAGGCAAGCACTCTGCCATTGAGCTATAACTGCAGCCCATTATTCTTCCTTTTCTAAGACCTTGAGGTGTAACATTAGATTATTTATTTTGGATCTTTCTTTTTTATTTCTTTAATATAGGCACTCAATGCTATAAACTTTCCTCTTAGAACTGCCTTCATACTGCCCCAGAGTTATTGTATGTTGTGTCTCTGTCCTCATATTCTTCTAAGAATATTTTTGATTTCACCCCTTATTGTTTTTATGACCCACTTCTCATTTAAAAGTATATTATTTGATATACAGGTATTAATATGATTTCTGTTTTTATCTTGTTATTGATTTGTAATTTCATTCTATTATGATGTGATGAGAGGCAAGGAATTTATGTATTTTTTTCCATGTGTGAAGACTTGCTATGTGTCCTAAAATAAGATGTTTTTTAGAAAAGGTTCTCTGTGCAGCTAAAAAAGTGAATTCAGTTGTTGACAGATGAAATAGTCTATAGATGTCTGTTATGTTCATTTGATTAATAATATTTTTTAGTTCTGAAGGGTCTTTATTTATGTCTGCATGATCTATCTATTGGTGAAAGAGGTATATTAAAATCACCTTTTATGATTGTGTTGTGGTCTTGTTGGTTCTTTATATCGAGAAGGGTTTGTTTTATGTATGTAGGTGCACTGATATTTGGGGCATAAGTATTTACAATTATTGTATCTTTTTGTTGGATGATTCCCTTAACCAGTATCAAAGCGACCTTCTTTGTCTATTTGGGTCAATTTTGACTTAAAATCTACTTTGTTAGATGTCAGAATAGCTGTTCCTGCTTACTTTTGGTCTCTATTTGCATGACATTTATTTTTCCATCTTTTCATATTTAGCTTGTGAATGTCTTTGCCTGTAAGGCGAGTCTCTTGTAAACAACATATGTTTAGGTCTTATGTTTTTTACTCCATTCTGCCAATCTATATCTTTTGATTGCAGAGTTTAGATCATTTATATTCAGTGCTATTATAGGGAGATGATTTTTATTTCCTTTATCTTGATTTATTTCTATTG